AATTTATTATATAATTATATTAATTATATCCATTATATTATATAATTTATTATAATTAATTTAATTATTAAATTAAATTATAAATTTCTCTTATAAAGTCAGTTAACCTCTCTCGGTCTTTGTTTTCTCCATCATGAAATGTAGTTATGAGATGTAAATATCAATATATGGAAACTGTTTTCATGGTGTCTGGCCCATATTTGTCACACAGTAAATTTTTAGTTTTCTTCTCCTTTTCATTCCCATCTGTATTCTCCAAACTTTGTATAAATGTTCTTATATTTCTGATCAAAATTGGTTAAAAAAAGAAACCACAAAGACAATCAAGGTATAGTGTCTGCAATTTGTTTTTAAATGGTTCAGCAAAAATATTGTTTTATATGTATGTATGGAGAGAGAAATAAAACAAGTATGACAAAATGATAAAAATGGGTGAGATGAAGGGAATATAATGTTTATTATATTCTTTGAATTTTTACTGAAAATGTTTCTTATTAATGCCTTCTAATTGTGTGATGTTTAATGTTTAATTTTTAAAAAGATAAATAGTATTATTATTTTGCATAAGCAGGAAAATGACCTTTAATTGTATTGTGGTTAACTTAGAATCTTAGCAAAGCAGCAGATACAGAAATACCTTTCATCTTTGTCACTTTCACTCTCGTGGGATCTGCCTTTATATAGTCAGTGTCTTAACTTCGCTGTGGTTGATGGGCTTTTTTGATCCTCATGTTTATTAGCACAGAGATTTCCACAGGCAGATACTTCTCTTTCTTCCCCTTCCCCATAAAAAAAGGTCAGCCAAAGTAAACAGATCGTATAGCTGAATATGTACTCTGTCTCACAAACCTTTCATTTCAACTTTACCTAGTCCCCCTTACCCACAAAAAAAGGTCATTCAAAGTAAATAGATGAGAAATGGCTGAATCCGAGCACTTGTGCAGCTTCAAATGATTCATCTTTTAAGGTAGTTGCTTTTAATTCCTCTACATTGTTTTATGAAATTATAAGAAATCTTATGGCTAATGATAGGACACTAATTATTAGCATTTGCAGGAACCACAATTGAATTCTTAAAATGTTTAAAGATGTTTCACATTCTACACCTTTGAGATGGCTCATATGTAAATGTCTTTGTAACCCTAGCACAGGTTGTAGTTTGCAGCAGAGGTTTGTCAGCCTTCAGTACTGACATTGGGAAAGCATCTCAATGTAATTGTCTTTGGTTTTTCTTTCTAAGAAGGAAAATACTTACATTTTATACCTATTGAATTCTTATAAGAATATTTTATTACTAAATATATTTTGTGTTAATAAAGCACATTGGTTAATTATAGGAATTATTTTGTTCCAAGCACCTGGGACATGGCTATGCTAAATACATGTTTGCAAAGTAGGTGAATTTAGGTTATATGAAGAACGATGGTAACTTTTAGTTACCTTAACTATAAAAGCTTGGAAAGGATTATATTTTAATATGATTTGCACTCTGGTTATGTTTAAAGTATTCATTAGTAAAACAATTTAGTGTGGAAAGTCCTGTTTGGAAGAGAAAATATTTTCTAAGCAGAAATCTTGCTATTGTGTTTGTCAGTACTGACTAGATTAAGAATTATACCACTTAAGAAAATTGGAACTGGGCCAGGGATTTAGCTCAGTGGTTTCACCGCCTGCTTCACAAGCACAAGGACCTGAGTTCAAACCCCAGTATCAAAAAAAAAAAGAAAAAAAGAAAGTTGGAATTATGTATTATATTGGTATCCTGATTGTTAAGTAAAGTTATAGAGAAACATTTTTTCCAGCAATTGTGATGTATAAAATTTTGAACATCTCTGTGAGTTCATCACTGTGAGCTTCCCATGCTATGGGTTAAGTATTTGTATGTATGAAACAAAAACTCCCAAGTTTGTTAATATGTTAGTTCTTTATATGTCCCAAAAGATTTTTTTTCCATTTGACTTGTTTAAACTAGTAAATTCTTGTGTTAATTATTGCTATACTGGAAAGATCTTTTCATGAAGTGTAATTTTGTAAGTTAAATGCCAACTGAAAAATGAAAATAATTTCCTATGAAGTGAAACAACAAACATTAATTAGAAAGGAACTTGCAAGACTTCTGATTTTAAATAGCTTAATTTATAATCAGTCAATGCCAAACATTTTCAGAATTATTTAGTACTAACATTTTTCATAAAGAATCAAACCAAATCCATGTCTAATTCATAAGCTAATGCAAGCTCATGAATAAATAGATCTAAAAGGAGTGAGGAATGTTAAGCCTTAGCTTAATGCAGCATAAGTCATTGCTTTGAACTTTGAATTGTGTTGATTAGTTCCAACAGAAAATTTATGGATTTTGTCAGTGAATTTGCATTATAATTTTTTAAAAAATTCTATTTTGTAGGTCCAATAAGGCAACTGAGTGGATTTTTTTGTACATATTTGTATTATCTTAAGTAGATACTGTTTTGCCTTGTTTTTTATAGTAGGAAATCAAAAGATAATGTCTGAAAATGAAAAAATCAATTTAGAAATATAGAATAAAATATCAGAAGAAACAACTGAAAGAATTTAAAGTGATTGCCTCTGGGGTGAAGGATTGAGGGGCATTGTAAGAAGCTGCTGTTTTATTATAACCCTAATTTCTGCAATTATAGTTTGTTTTTTCCCTCTGGTTCTAAGAATTAAACCCAGGGCCTCTTGCATGCTAGGCAAGTGCTCTATCACTAAGTTATGTCCCCAGCCTGTTTTTAAAACATTTTGGGACAGGGTCTTGCCCAGGCTGGCTTTGAACTTGTGATCCTCCTGCCTCAGCCTCCCAAGTAGCTGGTACTACAAGCATATGCCACTGCACTTAGCATAATTACAGTTTTTTGAAAAGAAGGTAGAGAACAGAAAACCTTGTCTTTCATCCTCGTAGTTATTTGGATATATAGTGAGCCTATTTATATAATTAGATCGAGTACTACCAGTCAGCTGGTCATAGTTTTCTTTGTTCCCTGAGAACTCAAGAAAAAAAGAATTCACCCTTCAGGTCTGTTTTGAAACCTGTTGTAGAATATGGATGTTAGCTTACTGGAATGAACTATACAGAGAATAAAGGGCAGTAGTTACTAATCTGTTTTCATCCTAAATAAAATTCAGTGGAGTGCCTTATCTTTCTCACTATAGCATTTAGGGCATGTGTATATATGTGTACATGTGAAGTGCAAGTGCATAAAATAGTGACCCTTCTAAGCAAATTTAAATGGAGCAGGGAGAATGTTTCTGGGGATATAGGTCCCACAGAGGCGCCAGGAGGAGTGCAGAAGGGCCTAGGAAGGTACTGAAAATACTCTATGTACCTGCCTCAGCGTTTCCTCCTCTTTCTGCTGACTGATTGTTTTCCTTTCTTTCTTCAAGTTTTCATGTTCAGACACCAGTAAAAAAGCAGAATTATTTGGTTTGCTTTGTTTTCCCCTCTCCATCATTGCCTCCTCCCCGTCGTCTCCATCACTGGTATCTGTCTTCTGCTAAGAAGAGAAAGGAGATGATTGTAAGTGTGCAGACATTCCCCGGCCTGACAGCCCTTGTGGGTTTATTCATGGTGCTTAGCACAGAGGTGAGGACACCGAGTATTTCATGTGATACAGCTAATAAGTGACCAGAGCACGGGCAGCCCCTCCTTCACTGATGTGCAGTATTTAGGCATGATGTTCTCATGCAACCACCCTTGGCATTATCCATCTGTACTTCTGTGAAATGCTCTTTTGCTCCAGGTAGCCACACTTTGGTACCAGTTAGAGTCCAAATGTATGTAGCTTATTCTTATCGCTGAGATACTGATGCTATTTCATGAGCAGGATTCTTCCAATTTGACTTCTTTTTTGGTAAAATGTTTATTGGAAATTGAATTGCAAAAATTACTTCATGATTCTTCAGTATGTACCAGAAAACAGTCATCACACCCTAGAGGTTTTTTTTTTTTCTTTTTCCCTTACCTCCTCGTATTGAAATATGGCATTCTTCAGAAAGTCATCCTGCATCCCTGAGGATTGCAGCCTTCAGCACTCTCAGAGCAAGCCTTCCATCAGCCTAATGGTTTTCTTTCATTTGTTGAAGTACTCTAAGCTTTATGGTATGTAATTCCTGGGCTTAATGTTTATTGTGATGAACCGCTCTAAAATATTGATCTGATTAAAGTTTTAATTGAAATAGTGTAATTAATTCATTTCGATAGAGAAGTTAGCCTATAATTTTATCATACTTAACTTTGAAAGTTTGTAAATGTGGTAAAATTTCTGGATGTTTGTAGTTAAGTGTTCTAAAAATAGTTTTTGAAAATTACTCAGTAACTTTTCAAAATTAATCAGATATTCCTTTTTTTAGTGGGCAGTTAGTTCTTTTCTGTTTAAACTTTGTATTATAAAAAGTTACAAAAATAGCCAAACAGCTCTCCAACACAATCATGCAAGTATAAGTGAGCCTAACCACTCAATAAATATTTTTGAGTGAATGAAAATAAGTGTAACTCTTTTCACAATTGTTTTGCTAACCTACACTTTCTATTTTTAAACCTGTCCAGAAGTGACACAGATGATAAAATAAGAAGCCCATGATTTCATGTGTTTTACTCAGAGGAGAGTCCTAGTGGGAGACTGGGAATCTGGTTACAAAAGGAGCTGATCAGTGGGGTGGTACACAAGTCAGGAAGAGGCAGCTGAGTCGTTGAGAGGATGCAGTAAATGCACATAAAAAATTTAGAGAGCAAAGGGATTCTTAAACTCCTTGCGTGGTAGTTCAGATTGACTCCGGCTCCTAATTTCCTTAGGATATTGGTTTTGAATTGAAGTTGCCTGAGTAATGGGAGTCCTTGGCATGAGCTGTAGCTTATGAAATGTTCTATGTAGTTTGAGGAATTAGAGGGAAACTAACTTGGTTCATTTGCACTTTTAGGGTGTTAATCAAAACTACCTGAAGAATCCCAGATCCCGCCCACCTATGTTCTAAATTCCCTAAAGAAAAAGTGAACATCAGCAAGTTTCAGTAGAAAAAGTACTGGCGTGATGTCAATAAAATCTGTGCTTTGGAGCTGCTATTTATTAGCTATGTAACCATGGATTGCTTGCTTTCTTCTCATCTCTGAAATGATATTATACCCGTTGTATCTACCTTGAAAGTTTTTGTGATGATAAAAGGCAGTTTTATAAAATAGTGAGAAAGCACTATTCAGACTGTCAAATGCTAAATGTGCAATTCTTTCTTCCTGAGGACAGATTGAGTAAAGTGGAAAGCTCAGTCTTGGATCATCTTTTTTATTACTGGGAAGCAAGAGCTAAAAGTGATACAGTTCTGTTATTTTTAGCAATAATGTAGAAGACGGTGGCCTTTTATATCTAGTTTGCTGAGTTAAAGTAAACAAAATAATGCTATTTTTTTTCCTGTGAAAGACCTTACCTACTTGTCTCATATGTTTGTCCCTCCCCAGAGTTTTGCCTTCACTTACTGCTGGCACTGTAGTCTAACAACTGTCTAGGACAGTGGTTTTCAAGGCGCTGTCCTGGGGCCAGGAGCATCAGCACCCCTGGGAACCTGTTTCTTCCATAAATTCTCCAGCAAGTCCATACCTTCTGATGCGTTAACAAGCTGTCCAGCTGATTCAGATGCAAATTAAAGTTTGAAAGCTCCTAGCTTAAATCAGCGATTCAGTTCATGGGTAATGCCCCCACCCAGGGCAGAGGTCTCTATCTCGGCTGTACATTCTAATCATGTGGAGAATGTTTGAACCTCTCAGTGCTCATGCGGACTCCAGGCCGGTTAAAATCAGAATCTCCACGGGTGGGACACATACATATGTACACGCACACATTTTTTCCAGTTTCTCAGTTGATCCCAACATAGTCACATTTGAGAGCCACTGACCTATTGGCTTTTTTCTACTGCTCACCTGCTGAAGTCACTATTATTTCTAATGGGAATTTATCAAATCTGTATTTGTTGAGATAAAGTTGAGAAGTATTGCTTTAGATTGTAGTTCCCAAATCTAGCTGGTTAAGCATCCAGTTTTCCTGGAAAGAGCTTTCTAGATCCCATTAAACCTACTCATTTGGAATTTTCAGGTGCAGAGAGCTAAAGAGCGTTTTATTTTCTGAATGTCTGATACAGTTAATTCTTGGTTCATCATTTGGGAACCGTATCTATAGGTGATTAAAAAGTTACTTTATTTGTGAAATTGGCCTTTGTTATTTTTCTTGTGCTTAATGTGCTTATTTATTAGTTCATTTATTCATTCTTTAGGTATCAGTGTGTCAGACACTTTTATAAATGCAGGAGATACAAAGAAGGATAGAACACTGTCCCTGAATTCAAAGAGTTTAGTGCCTATCAGAGGAAGATAGATCTATAAAGAAATAAATGCATGGAAGTATTATAAATCAGTACTATGACAGGAGCCAGAAACATGGGCATAATTTTTTATGTTTTCTGTTCCATTGATCACCATTAATCCTATTAATTATTCTGCCTGAATATATATATATATTTTTAAAAAGTATATATATATACACTTTTTTTTTATTCGTACCGGGGATTGAATTCGGGACCTTGTGCTTGTGAGGCAGGCGGCAGAACCACTGAGCAAAATCCCTGGCCCCCTGCCTAAATATATTTTCAGTCTGTCACCTTTCTTCATTATTGCTGTCACCATCCTAAGTCCCCACATCTATCATCTCCTCCTAGACCATGGATATCTTCACACTCACTCTTAGCCCTAGGTCCATTCTTTTCATGGTGGCCAGAGATACCTAGGAAGGGAGAGCTGACCATAATACGTAAGGATGTTAATAATAGGGGAAACTGACTGAGCATATGGCATCCCTGTACACTGTCTTCACAGTGATAATATAAATTTTAAACTTTTCTAAAACAAAATAATTATTTATTTTTAATATTATTTATTAATAAATAATTAAATTTATTAAATTATTTTGTTTTGTTTTTGTTTTTGAATCAGGGTCTCACTGTGTAACCCAGGGTGACTTTGAACTTGCTATGTTGCCCAGGCTGGCCTTGAATTCACAATCTTCCTGTTGTAGTGTCTCAAATGCTGGGATTACGGGGCATATGCTACCACAACCAACTCAAATTTTTTAAAAATAAGACAAAACTAACCATATAAATTTGCTGTGTAAAAGTCTTTAATGGTGTGTGTGTGTGTGTGTGCACACTTAAGAGAAAAATCCCAAACTTTCCTAATGGCCTACAAGACCCTGTGATCTGGCCAGCTTAGTTCCTGTGAAGTTCCTCCTTTCCCTGCTCCAGCCTCCCATCATCCACTTTCAGGCTTCTTACTGAAGCTTAGTGAGTTGCAATTCTGCTTTCCACCTAGCAAACCTTTTAGCCCTCATCTAAGACCAGTGTCATTTCCTCATGTCATTCTTACCTCATCCTGCATTTGGTGGCCGGGGCACTTGTTGGTTGTAATTGCATTTGTGTTTCGGTGATTTTTTTCATTTTTATTTTTTGTGGTGCTGGGGATTGAAACCAGGGCCCTAAGAAATGAGTTATACCCTCAGCCCTGTTGTGGTGGTTAAAGTAGAGTTTCAACTTGATTGGCTTTGAGAGGACCCCAGGGGATTGTTGGAGCACACTTCTAGGTTTGCCTGGGTGGGTCACGGAGGAGTGGCCTATTTCTGATACCTACCTGCTTGGGCTCTGACACTCTTCCCCTAGTCTGCTTCATAGCCACCGTGAACTAAGCAGTTTTGCTGTGTCACACCCTTCCACCATATGTTGCTGCCTTGGAGCCAGCCAGTCACAGATTGAAACCTCAAACAAATTAAACGTCTCCTTGTTTAAACTATGGGTGTTGACTATTGTGTTTCAACAATGAGAAAGCTGTTTGGGTCATTTTTTAAAAATGTCTATTCCACTGGACTGCGAGCTGCAGAAAGGCTAAACCCATGTCTGTCTTTTTGGAGCTCAGCGCAGTACCTGGCACATAGTAAGACTCATAAATTGTTAATGAATGAGTAATCAAATTAAGAGAAAAGAAGTATTGTGGCACCTTTTGCCTATTGCTATAGAGGCTACTAGACCTAAGCAATGCAAATGGAGTGGATTATAATGGTGCAGTTTGCTTAAAATTATAAAAACAACTAAGATATATATGTAAGGCATTAAAAACTAGCCAGTACACTCCCCCCCCTGTTTTTGTAGTTAGCAAAGAATTACAAAGAATTAACGACTAACTTATAAGTTGAGAACATAAAAGGAAAAGGAGGAACTTTTAAAATATTTTAAACTTTTTGCTAAATTTAAAAGTATTAGTATAGAAATTTCATATTACATTTTAGTAAAGTGGAAAGTAATATCAGCTTAATTTCTGAAATAGTTTTGATGTTTTATTACAATGATGCATACTTGTTATGTTAAACAGTTGTGGAGTCAGAAGGCAAAAGTAACTCAACCAAGACATTGTATTACGATCTGTAATTTAAATGAAAAATATCCCTACAGTTCTGCCATGTTTTTAATCACTGGAAGCCTGTCCAGTATATTTACTTCCCATTAGAGAGCTTAAATAATCTGATTTCATCAACAAAGAGACAAAAAGGCACCAAGTAGTACATAGACTGGACCAAAACAAACATTTCACTTAAAAATAATGTGCCTTATTTGCTTACTTAATGATACATGCAGCCTGACTTCTTCCATTAAAAGGATCTCATTTTACTTGAGTAATGGAGGCCCTCAGATATAGGTTCTTAAAGGGGCCCTGGAGTCCAGGAGAAGGTGCAAGGAGAGATTTCCATCTCTCCCTTCTTTGCAAATGTGAGAAAACTTGCAGCAACACCCACTTCCCTCCTTATAGCTCACCCTTTCTTAGTGGAAAGGGAGTGGAGATAAGTGGAAACCTCAGGAATTGTGCCTATCAAACTGTTAATAATGGCTGCAATTAAGGAATGGCTGCTATGTTATTAGCAGGCCATTTGTGATTACAAAGAAATTACAGCATATAAATATACCTCCTAGCTTTTGGTTTTCCCTACCTATTTAGTTTGTGTAATCTACTTTACCTTTTTTCTTTTGGTCTGCTACTGGGGATTGAACCTAGGGTCTACCACTCAGCTACATCCCCACCCTTTTTTATTTTTTATTTTGATAGAGTCTCACTAGGTTGCCCACATTGGTCTCAGACTTGTGATCCTCCTGCCTCAGCCTCCAGAGTAGCTGGGGTTGTACTTTACTATGTATTTAATATTTTTGATAATATTTTAATGTACTGAAAATTACTTTTAAGTTATATATATTAACACGGAGTTTTCTGAGTTTCCTGGGTCCTGGGTGCCCTTAAGTTTAAGAAAATTGAAGCTTCAGTTCTCCACATGTAGCAGATCCTCCCAAGGCAAAGGCTGGCTTCATGTTCAATTTGCTGCTCTGGGTTCTTGTCTTCACATAGTTTTTACCTGAGTAAAACTCATGGATGATTTTTTGACATTTTTGTGGTGGTGATTGGTTTTAGGTTTTATCTAGGAGTTCTAGAATGTTGGTCTAGGTACCTGGTGAGTCATTCTGTTGGAAATGAACCTCATAATTTTTGTACTGTAATATATACATTATGTATTACATCAGTTCCATCAGAACTATGAAGTGATAAGACAGCCAATAGTGCTTTTATGCTAGTCACTAGGCTAACCTCCTATCTACCAAAGAGTCTCTTCAAAGTTTTAGCATGTATTTTGTTTTTTTAAAAGTTTTATTTTATTTGGTACATTTTAGGTATACAATATAATGACATTAATCATTGGAAGTTTGCACCTTTACATAATCTCTCTTGGTTCTTATTTTTCCCCTTTCCCCTGCCCTCCCTTCAACCCCTCCATCCCTCTTGATTTACAAAGACTTTGTTTCCGTTTTTTCATTTTCTCATATTATATATTACATTCCCTTCTTTCCTTTCTCCTACCCCTCCACTTCCCCTTCCCCTTTGCCCCTTTTCTTCCTGTTTCACATTATCTATTATACCTTTTAGTCCTTATTTACACTTTCAGTTTCTCACACTAGAGGAACTATTTGGTATTTATACATGTGTGTCCTATTTATTTCACTTCTGAGTATTGCCTCAATGTACATCCATTTAGCTATAAATGTCTCTAATTTCTCATTTTTTATGGCTGAGTAGTACCCTATTTTATAAAAAAAAACACACACACATTTTCTTTATCCAGTCTCCAGTTGATGGGCATTTGGTCTGCTTCCAAGTTTTAGCTATTACAAATTGTGCTGCTATGAACATGGGTGCACATATATCACTGTGGTATGATTCTTTTAATTCTTTAGGGAAGATCCCCAGCAGGGGAATAGCTGGGTCAAATGGGACCTCCAGTCGTAGTTCTTTGAGGTTTCTCCATACTGATTTCCACAGTGGTTGCACCAGTCTACACTCCCACCAGCAGTGGGGCAGGGTTCCTCTTTCCCCACAGCCCCGCCAGCATTTGTTATTGGTTGATTTCATGATAGCAGCCATTCTTTCTGGGGTAAGGTGGAATCTCAGCGTTGTTTTCATTTGCATCTCTCAAATGACCAGTGATGTTGGACATTTTTTCATATGTTTATTTGTTATTTCTACTTCTTTGTGTGAGAAATATCTGTTCATTTCAGATGCCCATTTTTGGATTGGGTCTTTACATTTGGGAGGTCTGATCTTTTTAAGTTCTTTATAGATTCTAGAGAGTAGACCTTTGTCTGAGGAACAGCAGGTGAATATTTTTTCCCACGTTGTGGGTTGTCTCTTCATACTTCTGGTGGTTTCTCTTGCTGTGCAGAAAGTTTTAGCATGTATTTTGTTTGATGAATGTTTTGCAGAATGTGGATACATACTTGATAGTTATTCCCAGGTTAAAATGATGATGGTTATGACTTTGAGGTGTAGAACTCTGTGAGGCCTTGATGCCACATTTAGCTATGTGTAGAACAAATCCAAATGTAGTTGGTGAAAAGTGTCTCAGCCTCCTGAATCGGTGATTTCCTTCATCACATTGTGGGGCTGAAGTTGGATGGCTTTGCCCCCCTCTCCTGGTTAGGCATGTTGTTGTCTTCTTCTCAGTGCAGCTTTTCCTTACCTGGCTCAAATCAACAATAACAGAAGGGACATCCTATGACCCTGTTGCTGTTCATTATCCCTAAAAAGTTCTACTGAAAGAAACCAATTCTTTCGGAGTACCTAAAGATTTATTTCTCCTGAAATAAATCCAAGTCCCAAATGAAGCCGGAGAACTGAATGGATGCACAAAACTGGCCTTCTCATAGGATGATTCTGCTGCACTGCTCTTTGGGGTGATGTCATTGATTGACAAGTGGCAGCAGGTGACACAATATCTCTATGCTTATTAAGAAATGTTAAATATATTCTTCATTACATAAGCATCGGGTTTCTTGTCTACGAACCCCCGAGGGAGAATTTCTTTCTGAGTGTTCAGGAGGTATGTGGTTAGAGATAACTGAGTTTGGACCCCGATTGTGAATTTTTTCCCTTGGCTGCTAGAAATCTTAGCATCTTGAGGTTCTTTCCTGTTAAGCATGCATGATTTCATGGGATGGATTTTTATTTACCAATCTTACTGAAGGTTCCAACTTGCTTTCCCTCACCTTAATTTTCCCTTATCCCCCCCCTTTTTTTTTTTACCATATTAAACATGTATTTTAAAAGCCATTATGATTTTTTGGAACATAGTGGATATAGGCAAAATCATCTGATTATTGTTGCAAATAATTCAAGTCAATCCATAACCAGGTTTTATAAATGAAATTACACAATTATGTTTACTTTTGCTTAAACATTATCAAGGTCCAGAAAATTTGATTTCAATGCAATCCACTGTCTAGACCCAAAGGAATAAATATACAAAAATAAAAAAGACCACCATTAAGATTTCTGAGTCCTTCATTTGTTTGAACAGGCAAATTTTCAAAAGTAGAATCCTTCTCCCTAAGTATTCTGTAGATGTCAGTAATCTGATAAATTAACTATTCAGTGGCTTTTTGGTGCCTACTCAGTGGATTATCCATAGCAACAATTCTTTTCAAAACGTAATAGGGCCAACATTGCATTTATTAGGGAAATAATATCACCAGGTTAAACAAATTGTGACTGTTGGTTCTGTATGTTTACTCTTTCAAAGGGATCTGCCCAACCTTCAGTGTGTTTTATGTTGTAGATCATTAGAGAAGCTGAATAAAGGTATGACTCTATGATTCTGAATGTGCTACTTTATAGTATTTAGAGTTAAATAAAAAAAGATGATGAGCAAATAAACCTTTAGAAAGCTAAAGTACTATTTTGTGTATTGAAAATAGGGCAAATTCTACTCTAAACACTAGAAATCAGAGCTCTATTATGGTAAATATCACTCTCATTCTATAGAGGAGGAGTAGAATATATAATATTGGCTTGTCTTGAGTCTGGAAATTACACTGATATAGAATCTCTAAGAAAGGCTATGCCTCAAAAAAAATGATCGTTTCAGAATTACAGAGAGTTTTACAAGAGGACAGATTTATTTGAAAGAATTTGAACTGCTGTTGAAATGTAAATTAAACTTTAGTTCTTTTCACGTCTCTTGTTGAGAAATGAAGTAGAATTTAAAACTACAAAATGTTAGGAGTTCATCTAATCTAATATTCTTGTTTTATAGACATTAATGTGTTTAGAAACTGCTAAACAGGCACAATGTCTCTCATCTCAAATGTCCTTGTCAGTATAATTTTTTTTTCTAAACAAAGACTTGTTAAGCTTCCACCCTATAAGTTGGCCTAATGGAAATATAGTAACCTTTTACAAGGGTAGATTGATTAATAATTCTGTTTTGTCTTTTGATCTAATAGGATAGAATACATGTTTTTCCTTATTAGATTTTTATGCAGATGTGTTGTGGCTCTGCATTTATAAATTTGTTGAGCTTGTTTTGATAAAATCTTTTTTATGTCAAATACCTTTTTTTATTATAATGTGTTTAGAAGTTTAGCACTTAAATTATTATTTTTTTTTTGTTTACCTTTACAGATTCTGGAACTTTTCAAAGCCTGACCCTCTTCTTGAAACAGTGGAGCATCATACAGAGTTTACTTGTGGTTTAGATTTTAGTCTTCAGAGCCCCACACAGGTAATGGGATCAACTTTGTGTTGTATTTTTTTTTCTACCCCCACAGTTCACAAGTAGTTCTGCATATGGGATGTGTTATTTTTGTGAATAAAATTGTGTACTTTTGGTAGAACTAGGCACACTTGCTTAATTAACCTGATCTCTTTTGTTATATGAACTGTAGCACTTGAGCAATGAAATACTGAGAATAAAAGGTATCCAGAAAATACCTCTTAAAAGATTGACTTCTTTGAAAGGCAAAAGAACCTTCCTAAGAGGTGTTGTTGTCTGACATGTTGGAGGCTTTGAGGAGGCCTCTCCCAGTAGAGAGTGAAAAGAGAGAGAGTGGGGAAAGTCTGTCCACATAGGCTGATGGAGTCAGGAGCATGTGGTCCTAGGCTCAGCAGTAAGCACTTGAGACCAAGGGAGCTCATTTCCCTCTGGACTGTCGCACTCATCCCCACAACTCTGTGTCCAGCAGGAAGGTCCAAGTGGAGAAGGAAGTAGGAGAGAATTTCTGTGTTAATGAATCAACTTTCTGTTTTCCCTTTTTTGTTCTCTTAAGGACTCGAGAGTAAATGTTTTGCACTCTAATGTTCAGGATTTTTTTTTTAACAGTTTCACTTTCAGAAATTGTAAATTCAGGTCAGAAACATTATATAATATATTGACTGATAAGGCACTTTGTAACAGATTGTGTGAAAAAACCGTGATCCGTGAAACACAAAATAATACATGGAAATTCTAGGCTATAATTAAGAAATCGTACTTTCATTATACATTTTAGAAGTTAAATAAGTAGAAAAATCCCCTTTCATATTACTATATTCTTAAATTTAAGTAAATATATGTTTCTTTTCATTTAAGGAACGTAAGACATAATTCTGTTAAAAAATTCTCAATAGATATTGGAATATTTTCATGAACATTATTTGTTTAAAAAGGACTTATTAATATATAAGAAGAGAAAAAACCAAAATAGTAACGATGAAATGGAATTATCTTTAAATATAATATAAATGTATCTTTAAAAGAATTAGTTCCTTTTCTAAATACATTAATTTTGATTAGTTGTAATAAAATCATATACCTGTATTCTATCCCAGTTTTTAAAAAGTTGTAATGTTCCCATTGATACACAGCAATATCAAAGAAAGGATCCTGTGTAAATATACGTTAAGCATTCACTCATATGTGTTTTTATTATCTGTACTCTGTGAGACCCAGACAGGGACATGTGGTATCTGAGGCTGCTCTATTTCCTTTGGTTGTGGTGGTTCCTCACCAGTCTGAAGAATCCCAAGAATTTTCTAAGTCTTCCATAGACTCACCTTATTAAAAGGAACCTTGTGAACAGAGGATTTATCAGCAACATCTATCCTAAAGGAATAAAAAAGATTTTATTGTAAGACCATACATTTTGTTTATAGCATGGCAATTGCCATTTGTCTCTTACAGTTGGATAACCAAATTCTTTTTGTACTCAGGAAGTAGTTACTGTTGAGAGCAACTAAGGATGGAGAAGCAGGAGTCTTTGAGCTGTAAATAAGCAGCAGTTTCAGGGGCATAATGCACAGTTCATACATGCTAAAAGTCTCCAGAGTTCATAATGAACACAGTTTTAGTATTGGGAAGTCTTGGATTGAGTTCTTCCTCTCGTTCATTTTTCTTTCAACATATGTTTCCATGTGCCAGACCTTGTGGTAGGTACAGGGGAGTTCAGGGTGGAATAAAAATAAGCACGGCCCCTGCCTTCATAGAGCATTTAGTAATCCAAGTTACATCAGAGCATCTCACAGATGAATGTGAATGGACGACTGTGACAGATTCTGTGAAAAAGAAACTCATTGTGCCTCAAGTGTTCATAATCAGAATTGGGATTTGACCTATTTAAGGGATCCATAGGAAATGAGGCTCATATAAATGAGCAGGTGTCATCAGTATGAAGAGACAGAGGAAAATGATAAACAGGCTTGTAATGAGGGGGAGCAGGGCTGTTGTAGTACTTGAGAATGAAAGAATGTTTGTCTTCCGACTTGTAGTATTCAACAGTAGAGTTTTAAAAATATGTATTGATTTACTTGTCATATTTTAAAAAATCAAGTGTTGAGATTATTAACTAAAGTTTGTTTTTTCTTATATTAATGTGCTCAATCTGTCATAATGAAATAGCAAGCCTGGGTTGCTTAAACAGTAGAAATTCATTTCACAGTTCTGGAAGCTGAAAGGCCCAGATCAAGATCCACTAGGAAGTTCCCAGTGCAGGCTGTCCTCCTGGATTGTAGATGGCCGCCTTGTGGCTGAATCTTTGTGTGTTGGGATGTAAGGAGGGGGAGGGAGGAAGAGGACTCTGCCGCCTCTCCTCATAAGGACTCGAAATCTGGAAAGACCTGAGCTCCACCCTTACAACCTTATTTGATCTTTACTTTCTGTCTCCAAAGACAGTTACATTGGGGATTAGGGTTGCAACCTATGAATTTAGTGAGGGGACACAATTCAGTCCATAGCATGTATTCATAGTATGTATTCAAGGTTAGTTGTTCTTTAAGTTTCGCTGTGTGTTATACAGGTCATATTATTAATTATTATTTAATATATTTTTAATCTCCTAAAAGCATTCTTACTTTCTCTTAGTGTTCTTTTGACATTCACCAATTGACGCATTCGGTTACATGTATTGACAAGATATTTGTCAAGTGCTGTGTATCGGTCATTGAGCTAGGTATTGAGAAAAAATAGTGATCAAAACAGATTTCTACTCTCATGGAGTTTACACACTGTAGGAGGAATCTAATTATCAAGTAAACAAGATGATTTCATGTAGCAGTAGATGCTCTTCAGAATGGAGCAGTTTGATAGAGACTGTTAGTGAAGGGATGCTTTTGCTTAAAAGGTCTATGAAAAGCTGACTGAGAAAATGAAGTTTGAGCTAAAAACTAACAAAATGGAGCCAGCCATCCAACTAAGGGAAGAATGTTTTTCAGAGATAATGACAAATGTCAGTTCCTTAAGATGGTAATCAGTTGGTTATAATTAAGAGACAGCAAGAAGGCCAGTGTGGCTGGAGCCTGGAGAATGGGAGGGACAGTGATAGGAAGTACATATTCACCTAATTGTGTGGAGCCTTATAGACCATACAGTGATTTCTCCTATAATTTCATTATAAAGCCATTGGAGGTTTAAAGCAGAAAAATGATAGTCTGATTTGTGATTAAACAATCCTTCCAGTAGCTATGAGAGTAGACTATGAACAAGAGTGAAAGCTAGGAAGCCAGCTGGGAGTCTCTTGAAGTAATCTAGGCGAAGATAATAGTGAGTTAAAGTCACCAGGGATTTAGCTCAGTGGTTCCAGTGCCTGCCTCACAAGTGCAAGGTCCCAAGTTCGATCCCCAGTACTAAAAAAAGAAAAATAGTGAGTTAAAGTCAAGTTCTAAAGGTGGAGAGATGGAAAGATTAAGAATATATTATTTTGAGCCATATTAAATTGCTGGAACTGGGCCAGTGATTTAGCTCAGTGGTTCTGCCGCCTGCCTCGCAAGCACAAGGTCCCGAGTCTGATCCCCAGTACCAAAAAAAAAGCAAAACAAAAAACCAAAAAAAAACCACATAGATAAATTGCTGGAACTTTTATATGGCTCACCCTAACATTTTGAAGATAACAATAGTAGAATTTACTGATGGATTGGAAATGGGCTGTGAACAAAACAGAAGAATCAAGTTTTAATTCTAGGATTAGGAGACAGGGTGGGCAATGGTTTAATTTAATGAGCTAAGAGAAGAGGGGAATTTTGGGACAGGAACAATTAATAATTATGTTTAAGATATGTCCTGTTAGACATTCAGATGGGAGGTCTATTAGGCAGTTAAAAATAGTTTGGTCCACCTTAAGGAACAATTTATATGCAAAAGTAAAATGTGTGACAGCTATAGAGCAAGGGAAGTGAAGGAGGATTGGAAGTATACCTTTGTAAAGTTTGTATTCCAAAGTGATAGAATGTTATTTGAGGGTAGATTGTGATATATTCACAATATATATTGTAACCCCTTTGGTAACCATCAGGAAATTTTAGCAAAAGAAGTATAACTAACAGGCCAGTCATTGAGCTAACATGGAGTTATTAAAAATGATCAATTTCCTCAACATAATAAAGGCCATAAACGAAAAACCAACAGCCATCATTGATAAAAGACTGAAAGCAGCCAGGTGTGGTGACACATCCCTATAATCCTATCACTTGGGTGGCTGATCCAGGAGGATCACTATGAGTTCAAGCCCAGCCCTGAACTACATAGTGAGACCCTGCCTCAAAAAGCACAAAACAGGACTGAAAACTTTACCTCTAAATTTGGGAATAAGACAAGGATGCCCATTTTCCCCCACTTCCATTCAACACAACATTAGCAGTCTTACCCTGAGGAATTAGGTAAGAAAAGGAAATTAAAGGCATCTCAGTTGAAAAGGAAAAAGTTAAAATATCTCAGATGACATGATTTTTTTTTTTTTGGTACCGGGGATCAAACTTGGGTCCTTGCGCTTGCGCAACAGGCGACTATGACATGATTTTTGGTGTAGAAAACCTTTAAATGCAGCCATATCAAAAATTATGTTAAATGTAAATAGTCTAAATACTCCCAATTAAAAGGTAAAAAGCAGTAGATGACTTAGACCTATTAGATTTCATATTCGAAGAAGAGGTTTTTCTAACTCTAAGCTCTAGAATCCAGTTACCTTTTGTATATTTTCAATTTTATGCTTGCAGTATTTTCCCCTCTGGAAATTTATCTTAGTTTCTCTCTCTCTCTCTCTCTCTCTCTCTCTCTCTCTCTCTCTCTCTCTCGTATCCATTTTATTTATATTCTCTTGTCAACTTTAAACTTTTCTTTCAAACTAAGATGATATTTTTCCCATATCTAACAATACATTCTAACACAAACATTTGAGTTGTTTATATTATCATAACTTAAGTTTTTTACCAAGTAAAATATTGAACTTTCTAGGGGAGATAAGAATCAAGTCTTTT